TTCACCCACAAGAAACCTGGCTCTGAGACCATCCCACCACCAGGGAATTCTCAGTAGTCACTGAGAGACAGATGGGTAAGCCGCCGTGGGACCTCACTCTGGCCATTTCACTGTCCTTTGCATGCAGCTAAGAGGAGGGACAGACAGGGTGAAAAGATGGCACCTCAGTGCGAGAAGATTCTGTTTCCCATGAAAGGTTCTGTTAAAAGATTTGGTGTAAGCTCAGAGCTTGTAGCTCAGTGAGTAGGGCACTGGCCACATACACTGAAGCTGGTGGGTTCGAGCCTGGCCCAGGCCTGCTAAACAACAATGACAACTGCAACAAAAAAAATAGCTGGGCGTTATTGTGGGTGCCTATAGTCCCAACTACTTGGGAGGTGGAGGCAAGAGAATCACTTAAGCCCAAGAGTTGGAGGCTGCTGTGAGCTGTGATGCCACAGCACTCTACTGAGGGCGACACAATGAGACTGTGTTGCAAAACAAACAAACAAAAAGTTCTGGTGTAAACAAGTTATCACAGCGCTGCTTAGTGGCCATGAGGTGTGACGAATTTACTCACCATCCCCATTACCCTCCACATCTAAAATAGGCAGTGTACTGTTTTAACTAGCTGAACGATAATAAAATAGTTTTCCTTGGCAATGCTTACAAATTTTCAAACAAGTTTATGACTAGGTAGGGCCTTGGGAAAAACCACGAATAAGATGTCATTTATCTGCTACTTTGCAGATTTTGAAATCCTTTCTTCCATTTTGGAGGATTCCCCTCTACTCATCTGCCCATATCTCAGGCATCTGTTCCCATAGCACCCTGGCCAAGCTGGCTGTGTTATCACAAAGGTTTCTGGAATATAAAAATAATGAAGTCTGATGCAGAATGATCTAAGTAGAACTTCACATACTGAGGCCTAGGAGGAAAGCCGGGAATCCTGTGTAACTGTGGTCCCCAACCCTGGGGATGTGGACTGGGCTGCGTGCCACCACCACATGAACTTTGCCTCCTGTCCCCCCCCCCCCAGTTTCTTCCATGTAACTGGTCCCTGGTACCACAAGGTTCTGGCCGTGGCCTATTAGGAACTGGGCCACACAGCAGGACATGAACAGTGGCCGAGAGAAGCTTCACCTGTGTTTTCAGCCAGCCCCCATTACTCTCATCCCCACCTAACTTCTGCTCCTGTCCCATCCAGGGAAACATTGTGTTCCACGAAACCAGTCCTTGGTGCCAAAAAACTGGGGGACTGTTGCTTTATATCAACAGTCCAGTAGCCTGTTTTAAGACTAACTTTCAAAATCCCTTGATGCTTGTTCGTATCAAAGCTATTTGTTACAAGGTCAGGTTTTAGGATCAAGAATTCAAAGCCCATGAAAGGGTTCACATCAATCAAATATTTACTGGATTTCCCCTAAGTAGATAGATGGTTTTATTTTGGTATATTCAACTGTACTTTAAAAATACAAGGTGTTATTAAAGTTTAGAAGTGGGGGAATACTTCTACCCGAAGCAGTTTGTCTCCCATATTTAATCTGCTAAGTTTTCAACAGTCCCCACCTCACATGGTCAATGCCCGACCTGCCTATCACATGTGGCAAAGAATGCTGAAGGAGAAGAGTCCCAGCCACTGAATTTACAGAACAAATGTGCAATCCCAGTTCTGAAGGGCACAAGTATGGCGGCTGAGTCATAGCGGGGTTTGCTCACAGAGTCTGTAATGGCAGCTGTTACCCACGACATTCTCTGCTGAGAACGGGGCTCATTCAGGTAGATCCGTGCGGCAGGCAAGTTGAAGGCCAACTGTGTTGCCAGCCTTCCCGCACCCCCCTGACATTTCTCACATTCTCATTGACTGCTAAGCCTTTTAACTCTACATCCCTGTCTGTTCCTTCCTTCTCAGGTCCAAGTCGAAACTGGCAAAAAGGCAGCTCATCATCAGTGACGTCTGCATTCACCAAAAGGAAAGTAAGAAACATGTGCACTGGCAATACAATAAAAGCAAATGTTTCTTCTCCACTTCCTTTGCAAATTCTTCCTTCATAATTTGAGAGCTGTTGCTTTAGCAGCTTTTTAACACTCTTGGGGATTGAAAGGACGGGAAGAGTCAGGTAAAAGTGCTGTCACAAGACTGAGGGAGGCGAATTCTCTGTCTGGAATGACTCTGGGCCGTGGGGTCGTCTTTCTGTCGTGATCCCAGAGTTGGTGAAACGGCTTTATAACCCAATAATATGGACATATGGCCAATTTTAGATATCTATGTTTTAATAAGCATTATTAGTTCTATACTTTTAATATATTATTTGGAATTATAAGCTAGCGAAAACAGCCGTTTGGTATTACACAATAGGAAGCTGCGATGGGTAGTGTCTGAAAATCTCATCTTTGAGGGGATCCATAAAAGGAACTTGAGTGTGGAAAAGGAGAAAGAGAATTAGCTGATAAGGGTACAAGGTGGTTTGAGTCATCTTTCTCCTGCTCTGTTTCTCCACGTAGCCATCTCTGCTGTAACCACAGGAGCCCACAGAAGAGGACCCTGCCCTGCCCCTATGCTGGAGACTCCTGGATACTGATCTGAAAGACGGGGCCTCGGCTCCAGGTATTATCCTGACCAAGGCAACATGATCCTATAGAGTTTTACTTAATGAGGGCAGGCACATTTCATTCAGGAGTCAGCAAACATCGTACTGTTGGTCAAATATATGCGTTGCTGTCTGTGTTTGTGAGTACAGTTCACTAGAACATAACCAGGCCTGGTTGTTTCAATAATTTCCTCTGGCTTCTTTCCTGAGACAGTATCAGAGTCAAATAGGTGCAACTCTGTAGGTGCAATCAGAGTAGGTGGAGCAGACCCCTGGGGCCTCTTTGCTACCTGGTCCTTCACAGAAAAAACAGTTTGCTGATCCCCAATTTAAACACTGTTCTAGTTTTGAAGAATGAACCTACAAAGAAAGGCAAGAAAATGCCATCCAGTGAGATTATGTTGACTGTGTATGATTTAGAGATAGAAGGGGATTACAGGAATTCCTGCTATTCTAATTTGCTATTAATTGTGAAAATGTCAAGAGGTACAACTGACATTTACTGAGAATCCACACACCCTGGGCACCACATTAGAAACTTCCATAAAATTGGTTACATGACCTGCTTAGGTCAAAAAAATTTTAGATGTTCTAGGAGATGGGGTCTTAGGGAAAAACAAAACAAGAGAACCCAGGGCACAACCCAAGTTTTATGACCCAGACACTGTGGGGCGTCCTGCACCAACACAGCCCCGATGTTCCTTGTCCCAGACACAAAAGCCTGCTAAACTCAGTCTCCCAGTTTGAAATGCACTTTCCTTACTGTGCAAGGTCAGAAGCAGATGACTCGGAGGCACTCGCTGTCGTTCTCTTATTTAGACTATAAATGAAGGATTAAAGGGAAGAAGGCAAACGTGCTTGTGCTTCATTCAGCAAATCAACACCAGTGGCCCTGGGCACATAGGGATTCGGGGGCAATGATTTTTTTCTAAATGGTGACTTAAGAAAATCATAAACATTTGTAGCCAGAATTAACTGAAGAATCAACCTAGTTCAGATTCCATGGATTGTATTTCTAAAAACAGAAATGTAGGGTCGGGAAGTGATTCATTGGGGTTCCCTGGGGTTGGGGGCACATTTAGAGCTGCCACCCCGATCTTCCGAGTCCCCTTTCATTGCTTTCTTTGTGTTTTGTTTTGTTTAACCAAATCACATTTTCTAAGTTAGTTTTTCCCTTTTTTGTCCTCACGTTGACCAGAGACTGAGCCTGACATAGTTGCGATGTTCACTGGTTCCATATGAGACATCTCATCTTTTGTCTCAGATGGGTGCTGGGAAATATTCTCAGAAGGTGCTGGGAAATATTCAACCTAATTCCTTCCCCCCCCCAGTGTACATATTTCCTTTTTAATATCTGCCCTTCAATCTGTCCCCTTCAGGCCTGCCTGCCTGTCCATTCAGTCCTCCCTGGCTGCGAGGCCTCCTGTCTTGACATTCCTCCCTGAGGCAGATGGCTGGCTCCATCCTCCAGTTCCATCTCCCTTTTGAAACAGGGACCAGCACTGCATCCTCCCTTGGCAGACCTCTACCCTCCTTTTCAGAGAAGAGAGAGTGAGGGAGGATGTCAGTGAAAACAAAGAACAAAAGATGGAAATGACAGAGCAAGTCAAACAGCGAGAAAAATAAGGCTTTGCCTCAAAAAGAGGGAAAAATCACAGAACCAAAGGCAAGGGAGTGAAACGGTCCTGGCAGAACTTGCTCTCCTTCTATTCATTTTGGGGCACTGGGGGCAGCCGTTAGTTGGAGAGACAGGAGATTAGGTTTGTCGGTATCTTCTCCCAGCCAGAGGTCCCTAACTGAGCCACCCCTGCCCCCCCTCAGTGCTGCCTTAGAGGCACCCCTGCCCGGCTCCTCTAACACCCCCAAGCCCAGGTGACTCTCTCTATGCGCCTCCTAATTGCAAGTTTAGGGGGGTCCTGAGGTGTTTCCGTGCTCACCGTGCCCAGGTAAACCTTTCTTCCTTTAATGCCCTCTGGCTTTAGACCCGAGTTATCATCCTGACACTTCCATCCAGGCACCTGGTCCGCAAGGTGAGCACATTTCTCCCCATTAAAGGTTAAATAGTGCGTTCAGGTTGCCGGATGGTAGGAGGAGCTGTGAGGAATTTGCTTCTCCGTTTCTGTGTCACACACAGGCATCAAGATGACCCAGGCTAAGCCCCCATTTAGCAAACCTGGAGATGGCAGCAGAGCCAAGGTAAGGCTTTTCTATAACATTTCCCAAAGTAGAACGGGGTGGCCAGAAACGCTACTCGTACTATCACATTCTAGTTTGTTTCCCACTTACTTAGTGGGGCCACACCTAAAACACAGCCAGAGGAGTGCAAAAAGGAATCAGGGCCCGGAGACCGCATGGTTACACTCAGCCCACTTTACTTTTCAAGGATTTCTTACGAAAATTGTCTTTCTTCCGAAAGTTGCCCCCAATTACCTGTTGATGCTGTTTTTCTGTGCTAACATCTGCCAGTCCTTGCCTTTGGCATTGGGGGTATCAAACGTAGCACAAATCCGCTGTCTGATGGAGTAGGGGATTTTGAAGGCTTTGGGGCCAGTCTGTGCAGGAAAAGTGCTGTCCTCCTGTGCAATGAAAGTGATGGTCTCTCTTTCACTCTGTGAACAAAACGAAGAAACCTTATTCAGATCGAGCTGAAACCGTTACCGATCGACGGATTTTTTTTTTTTTTTAAATAGAAAATCTGTGTTAACACACATGTGCAAAACGCTTGCCTGTTGTGTTGGACTCTATAAAATATATTGATAAGTCACTCTTTCTTCTAAGACAGTAAAGAACTTCTCTAGGAGCCTAATAAATTGTGTAGCGGAGATTTACAACAGCAGCTTCCACTCCGGGGAGTCATAATCACCAGCTTCCAACATCCAAAGACCTGGCAGGTGACAGAAAAATTTAGACTTTGGGGGCTCTCAGGGACAGATCTAGTAGCAGTAGGAAGAAGCTACCAAATGACAGATTTCAGCCCAGAGTAAGGAATGACCCTCGGAGGACAGTCATAACTGACCAGCGATGAATGGCTCATCAGAGGAGCTGGCTCCAGAGCACTTGGTGGGGGAGCTACAGAGTCTGATTCTACGTTCATCATCCTGAAGTTCCCCTCCACCCGTCCTAAAGTGTGCTTTTATAGTAAACAGTCTGGCCTTGTTTCAGGATTTAAAAATCACTTTGGTAAAACAGAGCAAGCCATGAGTTAGAGGTAACACCTAGACCAGCCTGGTAGTGGTATAGCCCAGAAGGCTCCCAAGTACTGTCTGCCCACCACACTTCTGACGTAAAGCCATCCAGTGAGGATTTGCTATCTTTTTTCTTGTTTTTGAAACAGAATCCACTTCATTGCCCTGGGTAGAGTACCATGGCGTCACAGCTCACAGCAACCTGAGATTCTTGGGCCCAAGTGATCCTCTTGCCTCATTCTCCCAAGTAGCTGGGAATACAGGTACTCATCACAACACCCAGCTATTTTTAGAGACAGAGTCACACTCTTGCTCAGGTGTGATCCACCTGCCTCGGCCTCCCACTGTGCCTGGCCTGAGGATTTGCTATCTTAGTTCATCACAGCAACTCTAAACTCGTGTCCAACATGAAATCACACAGAAATTTGCCGGATTGTCCCGGCTGCTGCTAAGTTCAGGTGTACTAACAAAACTTTAAGGACTGCAAAATATCTTACTGAATCACCCCCAGAATTCTAAGACAAAAGGGACTCTACGGATGCAATTAAATTCCCAATTCAATTGACTTTGAATTAATCAAAAGAGCAATTTTTCTGGGTGGGACTGACTTCATCAGCTGGTCTTAAAAACTGAGAAGAGAAGGTTCCCATCTGGGGACATCTTTTCAGCTGGCCTAGAAGAAAGCGAATGGCCCGCTGTGAACTGCACTAATGGATTTTGGGGTCGGGGGATGCAGCCGGGAACTGAGGGGCTGACAGTGTCCCCTGGCCAACTGCCAGCCAGAACATGGGGACTTCAGTCCCAGAGCTTCCAGGAACCGAACCAGACGAACAACCTGACTAAACATGGAAGAGGACTCTGAGCTGCAGAGAAGAGCGCGTCTAGCCAACACCTTGGTCTCCGCTTTCTAGATCCTGATCTGAGTACCCAGTTGTGCCACGCCTGGACTTCTGACCTGCAAGAGCTGTGGGGTAATACATGGATGTTGTTTTGTGCTGCTAATTGAGGTGATTTGTGATGGAGCAAAACAAAACTAACACCAGGGAGTAATCAAAGCAGCACATCCTAGATGGGTGGTTAAAGTCTGGGCTGGTTAGAACTGTTTCAGCTCCAAGAAGCGAGCCTTTGTGTTGAGAAAAGGCAGCGTGCTGGGTCCTCCGAGGCAACCCACGGCCTTCCTGCCCTGCCCTTCCTTGCAGTCCTGCCCTGAATGTCTCCTGACCATTATGTGTCTTCCTCATGTGGGCACCACAGCCAGGGGCAGGGAGGGGGCCCTTCACAGCTAGTGCTAGGCCCACATAACCACATAAACCATCAGACTTCGGGAGTTCAAAACAGAACTGAGAAAGCCCGTTGATGCAGAGATTTCACTAACGACTGATAATACATGTCCTCTTTGCGTGACCATTTAACACAGTTACATTGGAAGGTTGTGTTTTGGAAACAATGTTTTAACCCAGTGTTTCCAATAGGACAGCGGCCAAACACATTTGAGAAATGCTGCCTCTGACAGCCTCTTCTCGGAAACTCAAGATACACGTTGTCATAGTAAACAGATGCTACTTACTGGTTTTAGTTTGATTCTGGGAATATTACACAACAATTCTCATCAAAGCTCTTCTAGTATTTAGTCTAACAGAAAAGCATGCTTGTAAGAACCACGAAGACCTCACTTTGGATTAAGACACACCCTCCCTAGCTCGGTTAAGGACGATGCTACATTAACTGCTTCAGCCTCAATTTCCTAATCAGTCATCTGCATTTTTAAAAACCTCACAGAGGTTATGGAAGTTTGTGACGTAGCTGAAACTAGAAATCTGATGTCCTGGTAACTATACTAGCACTTACCTCACTACATCACCCTGCTTCAAGACAAGTACCAAGAGCTCCCCAGAGCAGGGTGGCTGAAGAAAAAATCCTCTAAGGGACATGACCATCATGTTCCAGGGATTTACAAGAGGAAAGACTTCATTGGGCAAACACTTAAGATGACCTTGAAGGATAGGTAAGTATCAGGTGAACAGAATTTTGGTGGCTTGGGTAGTTATGGTAGGCAGAATGGACATGTCTGTTCTGATATACTGCATGGTTATAAAATAAACCAACTCAGCCCCTGTAACTGCTTAAAATAGGTTACAAGATATGTCATTTTTTATCATGGTTTGTAAAATTTCTTCTAGGATCTAAAAATGCAAATCAAGAAGGAATTGCATATTTTCTGGCTTAAGAGTATGGTATAAACTGGAGGGAAATTAAAAAATAATTCTATGCAAGTTAACAGCGTTACCGGTCATTGCGAAATGACACCAAAGGGCATTAACCCCAGGAGAGGAAGCTTGCCAATAAAACTGAAAATATTAAAAGTGTCTAGGCAAAACACTGCACGAGGCAGAACTGACTCAGTTGACTAAGCTCTGTCACTACTGTTGGCAGAAGAACCACCTTGATGTAATGGTGTCTTCAGAAAAAGCTGGACAAAGTAGTCTTATCCGAAGGTGAATAAAACATGACATGAGCCTGAGTCTAAAAATAAGTAATTTTTCAATTTGCTACGCTTTACTAGGTAAGCCCCCACTTCCTTCTTAAGGTTTCCAACTTTAAATATTTTCTATGCATAAGGATGACACTTTATGTAACATTTATGAAGCATTCTAAAAGACATCTGGGCCAAGGAGTGAGAGTCCTGTAAGATACATCACGTTTTCTGATTGTTTAAATTAAATATGCAGAGGCACGGTAGATTTTCATGCTCTGCACATCTCAGATAAGCGCCTGCTACCTGGTTAGCTCAGGGAGTTGTAAATCGACGAGAAATTGTAAAGTATTCTATTTTGTAACAGACAGATTATCCCCCAACTTCCACCACTTCTGGAAGAGTGCTGCTTGAAGGGAAAATTGTAACATGCAAGATTCCCAGTTAATTTTTTTCTACTGAAAAATAAAGATTCGTTAACACTACGTTAATAAGGAATGATGAAATAAATCACTCGGGGATTCTTCTCTTCAATATTTGGCCATTGTAGATGGGGGATACTGTTGCTTTATACAGTATCGGTTGGCAATGATCATAAGATAACTTGATAGGGTTAAATTTAAGAAGAATCAAGCTACCTCTAAAGATTGACACAATAATGGCCACTCTAAAGAGTAAAAAAGACATACTGGTCACTGTAACAATTTTTAAGTGTAAGAATGATGTGAAGGATTACCGCGGTGATTTTCAACCTGTGAGCTGTGAGAGGATCTTACGCTTGCTGTGAAAAATTTTAAAGATAATTAAGTTATTTTTGAAAGAGGTTTAAAGCACAGCAAGTATATATTTTTTTACTCTTTTTTTGTCAACATAACTTATGGGTGACATGAAAGTTTAACTACAGATTCAAGTGTGCTGTGGGACAAAACAGTTGAAAAACACTGGATTAGAGGCATGAAAGGATATGATAAATGGTATACTGAACATACATCATTGCATTGAGAAATTTAAAATTCATAATATATATCTTAAGCATTGATTTTAGTTTCATCCTATTGATCTCATCTATATTTAAATATCAATTTTATATATCTTAAAGATTGATTTCTGGAGCTGGGATGTTTGTCCCTAGTTCCTGAACCCCCAAAGACAAGGCTTCTATCATGGTCAAGGCCCACAGGTAAGGCTAAGAATAAATTAGAGCGCCTTGACTGGGTTCCGCAAGGAGCGTCCCATGGCTGTCAGACTTTGATAACTTAATAGCTCCATGATCTTGGGTAAGAAGGCTGAGCTCCTGGAGAACAGACTTGTGATGGTTATAGGACACATGTGAAAGCTAATGGAAACATACCTGAAATATAGCAGCTTTCAAAAGTTATTAGTCTTCTTCTGACATAGAAAATGAGATCAAATTAGACTTGTCTAAGAAATAAAGTTTATCACAAAGTGACAGAAACGCACAGGAGGACTGGGCCTAATCTCGCAGTAATGCTTGAAGCAATTAATTACCGTGCTCCTAGATGGGATCAAAGGGTTAATAAAGCTTCTGGAATGCTGCAGCCCTCAAATTGGAGACTGTAGCCTAACAAGGGATATCTAAATATTAATCTGATATTTGCTGCCCAGTATTGAGAGACACTGTGATGTTACCCTCTTCAAGTCATTTCAAAGTGACTGTAAACTTCTGAAGCATTAGAAAAGAAATTGGAGAATAAGGGCTAAGACTCAGTTTCTCAGTTATTTGCTGATTTTCCTTTCATGCACTTCAAGAGTTTATTTAAGCAAGGAGCAAAAAGCCCAGCCCTTGCCAGCCCTCCCTTATTTCTCTGACATAGAGATCCTGTAATTGCTGAAGTTGGTCACCAACATGTGGGGGCCTTAAACAACAAACTTCCAGACCTGGCGTTCCTTTGCTGGTCTGTTGCCAGGGATTTAGGGCCCTCTGATCAGAGGTATTTTTGGGGTCTGCCTTCTCATGCTTACTTCTGAACACCAGCTCTTCCAGGACTTTCTTTATTTTTAAAACTTTCCTCCGTTTTCCATTTTACTTTGAAATGTATTGTGTTAAATATGCCATGGCTGTTCAAAAGAAAGGCTCTAAAAATATCCCACCCCAGGTTTCTGGATCTACCTTCTCCAGCAAAACTACTTTAGCACATAATGCTAACTGGCAATAATGAATGCTAATGCTACACAAACATGTCAGTTAAGGCAGCTGTCAATTGAAGGCACAAGCCTTCAGAGAGCCCCCTCCTCTTCAGAAAAACCATTTGGGAAATTAGCCATGCCCATTTGGCATAAACAATGAATTAAAATGAGAATGGAGAGACATGATCATGCTATACAGCTACAATTAAAAAAAAAGTCCTGCAATTGATTTATATGCATAGGAACACGTTGAACCTTCTGCCTAAATTAGTAAACCTATATTATTTATATATTAATGACTTGTAGATGTGAATGATAAAAATGTGTATTTTCTTATTCTAGCCAGGAGTGACCTTGAAACCGCTCAACAAAAGCATCACACCCCACAGCTACTGTCCACCGCTACCCCTGCGTAACTATTCAGGGTACTAGTCTGTACTTTATAAGTTTCACATCCAAAGCCATGAACTCACTATGTGGGTTAGGGCAAGTCACAACCAGGGTCTGCCATGAGGTGTCTTTTGGCAAAGGCTCCTTGTTTGAGTCCCAATTTTAACTCCGTCCTACGATAGTGGTACAACCTGGACAAAGTCATTTTCCTTCTCTGCACCTGGTATGGATAACAGCAGGAGGTCATTATCAACCCCGTTCTTCCACCACAGAGCTGAAGGGTCTAGGTTGATGAAGGTGGATGTGCTGAACCCTGAATCTGGAGAGCAGGGGAAAAGGTGAGAAAAGGGCCCCGGCCCCGAAGGTGAAATAACATATACACGGGCCCTGACTTCTGGGAAACGAGTGAGAATCAGCAGAAATGTGGCCTAACAGTGTGACCTTTGTGCCTCTTTGTGGTGTGCGTCTCAACTGTACCAGATGTCGTCAGCCCACGGTGAATCCCAGCTGGCATTCCAAGTCTAATGTGGACCCTGAGACTTCTTATGGTTTTATGTATAAAAAGCTCTGGATCAGTTCCTTCTCCAAAGGTCCTTCCACAGTTTACATAAGCTCTCTGATGCCTTGAGTTTTTCTCTGTTCAATCTCTCATCTGAGAAAACATTTATTTTCCCTTATTATTAAATGATAATGATGTTTAAGAGTTCGTGCAATTTGAAGCTCTTTCAGAACCCAAATAGCACGGCTGAGATAGGTATGGCATGATTATTCCTACTGTCCTTTATACAGGGGGTCAGATGACCTGTAGATGACGGACTCACCTCCAGGATGGACGTCTGTACTTGGAGGATTTGCTCATGGCCTTTGAGCTGCCGGATGCAGATTTTGCAGGACAGCTGGGTGGTGGTGGGCGTGTAGCGCTCCAGGGAGAAGGCACAGTGCAAGGGCTGCCGGTTACTGCACCACACGCGGGAGAACGGGACTTCCTGCAGGGAAGACAGGACAGGAGAGAGGGGTGCGTGTGCAGAAGCCGGCTGAGATGCACGACAGCCAGGAGAGACTAAAGAACAACGATTAGTCTGATGATGGCGGCGCTGAGCGCAGCAGAGATAACTGCCTAAATGACTTTGGTGGGATTGTTAGAGGAACAGTGTTCCAGCATACGCCAAGCAGCACACAAGTAATTAATGTCAATTCCAACTGATAAAATTTGAATTCCAAACCATGCCACAAGAGCTCAGATCTTACTTGGTGACACACACAATTAGAAAGAATACCGTCAAAAATTAATCGTTTTTTTTTCCACTTTAAAAAAATACATCCTTTAGAAGACTCTTGTGGTCTATCCTTCTACCTAAGCCTAAGGTAGGGAGAGATCTTCTCACTTAAATAAAAATAATGCTAAGGAAATGAAAAGTTGTCCCACACCACAAACTCACACAGAATGGTGTGAGAACACAGTATTGATAATGTAGTGAGCATAAAAATTAACATCTACTGTGGTATCACAACATCACACACATATACACACATCCCAGAGAGAGACACAGACACACTGGGCCACCCTTGGGTGACCGAGTTTGCCAGCTATTCTCTCCTCTAATTTGTCCATTCCACAGTTATGTAAGAGGCCTACTAATGGCTGGCATGGTACTAAGATAAACAATAAGAAACAATAACATATCAAGTTTGGTTCTCATTTTCAAAGGACTTACAGACAATTGACTGGCAAAAGTAATTTTTACCAAATGAGGTAGATTATAAAACCTATACGGATACTCATTTTCCCAGCATTAGCTGGTACTTGTTATCAATTGAACTGTGCTCAAGCATTTTACAAAAACACAAAGTAGAAGTCACTGGCATGGATGCAGAGAGAAAGGAATACCTGCATATTGTTGACTGGACTGCAAATTAGTAAGACTTCTATGGAAAACAGTATTGAGATATGACCTGCCATTTGGTTTAGCAACCCCACCACTGGGTGTCTACCCAAAGGAAAATAAATGATTCTAGTAAAGAAACCCCTGCACTTGAATGTTTATCGCAGTACAATTCATAATTTCAAACATGTGGAATCAACTCAGGTATTCATTCTATGAGTGGATTAACAAAATGTGATGTCTGTATACCCTGGAATACAATGCAGTCATGAAGAAGGATGACTTAATGCCTTTTGCAAAAATTTGAACGGACCTAGAGACCATTATCCTAAGTGAAGTATCTCAAGAATGGATAAACACCACAGGAACTCACTATTGAACTGGAACTAACTGATGAGCACACATGTGCACAGAGGGAAGTAAAGCTTGGTGGAAATCCGGCAGGGGGAGAGGGGAGGGATGAGAACCTATCTAAGGGGTCCAATGAACACCGGCTGTGTGATGGGCACAATTATAGCATGACTCAGCACTATAAAAGTGATCCATTTAACCAAAAATATTTATACCCCCATAACACTTTGAAATAAATCAGTCACTGAAATCTTTCATGTACTAAAACATCTCTCCTTACTCAGATGTAGCCAAGGGCACTTCCCAAGGACCACAGATCCCCAGCCTCTAGTACTCCTCACCCTCACGTTCCCCCATTAATTTGCTCTTACCAGTTGCTAAGAATACAATTCCCTGCAAAACTGAAAAGTGACAAAACATGAATCAAGTCTGGAAGTTTGGGGCCCTGGAATGTGGCTGGTGATGAAGCTGGCGCGTGTCAGGAGACCGAGGGCCGGGTGAACACTTGAAGAGGGCGGGCCAGCTTTACAGGAAATACAGAACATTCACTCCCATCATGCATCTCGGCATCAAAGGTAAGACTTTTATGGGTTGTTTTGTTTGTTATTCATCCTGAAGCAAAGGGAAATCAATGGATTTTCATCTCAAGAAGTACAGGAGGAGGCCTACAGGTGTGACACCGCCTGGTGTTTCCCTGATGTCATTCCCGTGTAAGATGTGAGCTGTAAGTATCCAATATTATCTCTGCTATTCTCTGTTCTCTCCTACATGGCAGAGACTGGAAGCCCACCCTCTTCGTTTTACAGACACCCGTGAGAGCAGAGAGTCCATCTGTCCGTTCTGCTAGTGAGAGGCACTCGTGCTGTATTTGGAATGGAGAAGAGGTGAGGAAGGCATCATGGCTCCCCTGCCATCTGCAGGCTTACAGGCTGTTGCTGACAGAACAAGAAAAGCGTGCAGGGACTTCTGGTCGCTCCGACTTGCTTCTTTCCTCCCATCACTAGAGGCTTTCTCTGACCTTGGCTCCTCCAAAGGTTTTGCAAGCACATAAATCCTTTAATAAAATATCTCCTTGGTTGAAATACCTTGAATGCTTTCTGTTTCCTTGACCAAACAATTCTCTTCGATTTGAAGAAGTTGTCTTGGAAACCAGTAGGAGTTGGGGAATGTTGAAAGGTGCCACTATAGGTTCCTCAGGGAGGCTGTCACCTGGGACAGTGCTGGGAGCAACACCAAGCTAATAATCACCCAGGGAGCTGCCAGTTGTATCACCTGCTGACCGCACGGGGCCAGCTCATGGTATCTCTTTCCCGTTTTCTTCTAATACAGAAAGTGTTACTTACAATCTCTCCTTCCTTCCTGTAGTCCACACTGCAGCACAGGGCACTTCTGACTGATGGGGGGCTCCTGGCAACTCTTAGCGGAAGTCACTTTCCCTAAAACACTCCCAAACCGTCTCTCATCGGAACCATAATGTGCACACACAAGTCCTGCCATTTCTCCTTGTTGTCTAATCTGATTCTTTCCCTTTTTCTCCTCCTGAGCCTCCTTTCATGTCGCACACCAGAGCACACCTTCCTCCACATCTCCACCTCCTACACCTCTCTGCCTACAAGGTCCCACCTGCCCACACAGGCCCAGCTGCCACATCCCCGTGGAAGGCTCCAATGACATCTCTGGTATCTCATTCTGCTCAACCCTGTAAACACAAGGCTAAGCACTACAAATCATTTTATTTGGCCTTTGCTTCTGTGGCAATTTTACCTTTGGAAAACTGAGTACAACCATCTCTCTCAAGGACGCTCTTGTCCAATCTTCTGACGTCCACCACACTCGGTAGGGCTGACTGCAGTAAACTACTCATGCATCCTGGCTTCCGTCTCTACCAGACAGAGCTAAGGATGGGCTTGATGACAGAGGGGAACAAAAAGCAGCTGACTGGTATTCTTCAGGGACAGCATCATGGTCTTTTACCTCCAAATGGGAGTGACCAAGCCACCTAGGAACTCTGCTTTTATTACATGATTTCTTTCTTTGGGGGGAGGATAACACTGGCCCCCTGGAGACTGCCATGTTGAACATACTCTCCTGTCTGGCTTCAAAGACTTTCATCCTCTGTTGTCCTGGACTCATTGTCCCATATTTATTTTTTGAGACAGAGTCTCACTCTGTCACCCTGGGTAGAGTGCCGTGGCATCACAGCTCACAGCAACCCCAAATGCTTAGACTTGAGCATTTGTCTTGCTTCCGCTGCCTGAATAGCTGGAACTACAGGTGACCGCCACTACGCCTGGCTAGTTTTTCTATCTTTAGCAGAGATAGTCTCGCTCTTGCTCAGGCTGGTCTCAAACTCCTGAGCTCAAGCAAGCTACCGGCCTTGGCCTCCCAGAGTGCTGGGACTGCAGGCATGAGCCACTGTACCCGGCCTCTCCACTCTTTTCGTTAGCCCTCAAATGAACTATCTTCTTCAAACCACTAAATTTCTGTAGATTCACTTTCTTTGCATCATGCTTCTCAATAAAAGTAACTATAACACAGGGCTCTGGTTAACAGGTGCCTTTGCCTAACTGAGCGAACTGAGTAGGGTTTTGTTTTCTAAATCGGAAATTGAGTCACTGTAGTATAAGGCAAGGGCATGGACTCCAGGGAAGGCTAGAAAGGGACAAGTTCAAGGTCCATCTTAACACATTAACTGCCATGTGAACTGTATTTAACAGAGGCTAGTTTGGGGCCCTGGGCCTCGTGAAGCATATACAACTCACACATTTCTTGACCTAATAAAACATGGAGGCCCCAAGGAAAAAACACTTTTTTTCTAGTGTGATAGTCAATGTTTAAGCAAACCTACATGTTCTGCAATGGATTTGATGCTCGGTAATGTTTTGCCTTCCTAAGAAAATGGCACTGGCTACTTATTAAAAGTGTCTCCTCTGGTCTCAGTTGCTGGTTTTCTGTATATTCTTCTGAAAACACTAGAAGAAAAGTTAAGAAAGTAATACCCGCTGCAGAGATACTTTTTCCTTTCTGAAAGACATGAGGATTAACAGAGACACACGAAATCCTCTCTTTCCATTCCACTACACACAATCAAAACATTTTAAAAGTCTGATTTTAAGACAGTATCAAAGGAATATTTTTTATTGTTGACTTGAGTAGCAGCTGCCAATAGGGCTCAACAAAACATTTAAAAATAATAGAATTAGAAGCACTGTGATTAGTGCGTTTTCAGGGCAATCATCTTTGCTTTCATGTATTCAACAAACAAACAAAAAAACCCCAAAATGACAACAACAAACCCCCCCCCCCCAACACGCTCACTGAGCTGCGAGGCACTGTGTGGAGACTAAAAGGAGAGGACAAAGTATGGCAAAGCTATGGGTGTTTAAAGAATTCCGGAACTGTTTTCATTCTGATTCCCATTATAATTAGGTTCCTAGAAGATGGAGAGAATGTAAATCAAATTCTAGCAGGAGATAGACACTGGGTGCTCCAAGATACACAGCGGGCTGGAAAGACAGCTGCTTTCATTCTAGGGAGGTGACAACCTGACTGTGTGTTTTGCTGAATCTAAAAAAATAAATTAATAATTGATTGTGCTATATTTACTGCGGCTTCCCCACCCCGAAGGCAGCAAGGAGTAAAGGAAAGTGTGATTTAGTAGCTCTCAGGTCTCAGCAACCGACTGAGAGCAGGGTTATTTACCTCCCAAGGGAGGGTTGCTAATTCTTCAGCAAGGACAACAGCGTATCCTTAATCGCAGCAGGGTCTTAAAGCCTGAGAAGAAAACAGGGAATAAAAAATTGTTTATTCAGGGAGACCAGCCTTGTAGGCCTCAGTTTCTCTTTGAACTAAGGCCATTGGGTGCTACTGACATAGCCTTCAACTACCTCTCACCCATCACAGCTGGCTTCATAGGCAATAGGGTTGTAGCATAACATTCCATCAGGTATAATCCTCCAGAACCCAAACCAACAAAATTTAAAATCTAGTAGGTCTTTCTACCTATACATAAGTTCCCATCACTTAGCTCTCTGGACCCAAACCTGAACTCACACCATTCCAAACCCTGCAGTCTGTTGATGTCTGATAGGGCAAATGCGCTGCGCACTGGGAACCTTCCCAGGAAAGTCCACCTTTCTCAAAGAATACAGGGAGGTTTCAGGTAGAGTAGGGTTTAGGTACCAGCTGTCACATGTCATCTCCCAGGCTCCTGATTTGATGTTAGAGAGAGAGAGAGGAAGGAGCAGAAGACGATGCTTCCAGGGGTCTCCCCCGGATTAAGCAGAAGGTGACGGGGAGATTCACCCACCGAGGGAGAGACGTACACATAATATCAAGATTTGTGTGGTTTCCTCTCTTCACAATAGCTCTCTGGGATGACCAGAAAGAGGTCCTGTCAGTTCGAGGCCACTAGCGCCAATGAAAAGCCAGTCTCCATCATTCATGCCAAGAATGACACATCACCTTCTACGTGACCTTCACGAGGCGGACACGGGCCCCCCAGAGTGCCCACGCCTAATGCCCAAAGTAAACACAGCACGTTCCCACAAACAGAGGGATTTCTGTGATGAGAGGGGCAAGGAAATTGGTGGTGGCGGGGGGGGGTGAAGGAAAAAAAGGGATAGAGTATAAAGCCGTTCGGGATAACAAAAATAAAGTGGAAAAGAAAACTCAGCGACAATCTTCTTGATGCAGAGAAAATTAAATTGTTTTTCAGCCTTCCAAGACTATTTCAAATTACGCTCAATTACAATAGGCAAATATTTATACATGTTCACAACCTCTGCGCAAGCCAACCCATCCCAACAGTAAAGCTTGCTGGGTTTCCTTGCAGGCCACTGCCCTCCAGTTTTGGCTGGTCCTTCCGCATCCTTGGAGGTTGGCAGGGACTCAGCCCCCAAGCCTCTTCTGCCTGGGGCTGCCTTGGGTACCCCCAGGGTTGGAATTGTTGCTCAAGTGCTGCTCCAAGGTAATGGGGCTTTCATCTGAGTTTTTATCTCCGAGCGTTAAACTTAATAGTTCACTTTGGACTGAGTCACTTGCATTAGACCCAGTGAAACGAGGCCCTTATAACCTATAAAGATTAATGCCGAGGAATTTGCATGCCCGTCAGGACTTGTTTTAATAATACTCTCAAGTTCAATCTGGACCAGGAACTTTGAATCCTGCTTATTGTAAAACAAGGAGCTCTGTGTCTTGAACATCAAAAATAATACATTCAGGAAATGTGCTGAATGTGCCCTAACTCCCCACCCCCAAAACTGTTCAGACCCATGTGTTCATGCTAAAACTATACAGAGATAGGCAGATCCCATGGTGGTGAGAAGCCTGAGAAACTAACAGAAAAAGGGAGCCCTGTTCAGTTTGAAAATTCTCATTTTTAGAAGTTAGAAGGGTGGCTGGTGGTTCAACAACTTTTTCTAACTGTCATGAGTGGTCAAGGTTTTTTTGCGGGGGGGGGGATTCGCTTATTGTCATTCTGATACATTGGCATAGCTGTGAATATTTTAAGAAATATGAGTGCTGGGCGGCACCTGTGGCTCAAAGGAGTAGGGCGCTGGCCCCATATATGGGAGGTGGTGGCTTCAAACCCAGCCCTGGCCAAAAAAGAAAAAGAAACACAAGCGCTGCAAGAATGGACGGGTTAAAGAGCCCACAGGACTTTCCCGTTATGCTCGCGGACAGAACAAAGGAGCCTGAAGTGTCCCGTGATCCCAGGTGAACACGAGGCCACCAGAAGCTCTTCCAGAGTTAGGGAAAGTCCCATCACTAGAAGCAAAGATGACTCTGACTCAAGAACTACCGCAGACGAGCTGGCTGATTACGGTGACAGTGCTTGTCACTGTTTGATAAGAGATCTTTCCATGTGAAGTGCCCAGTCAAAATCCCTGAAAATAATCCAAAGAGATTCTGAGTCTCCCTGGCAGGTTAAAAAAACCTCTAATAAGAGACATGAGGACAGGAGCAGGTAAGTATCTTTAGGTATGTATAAAAGGACTCGACAAAAAGATTACTTGTCTTTGTTTTTCAATTTGTAATTCATGTTCCCCATCGGCTTGGCAGCAAGCGCTTCTTATATGAAGAACAAACCCTCTCGTTCTCAGCCGGCTGGCCACGGCTCTAACTCAAAATTAGCATCCTCAAAAGGCGTCTCACCAACATCCAGTTTGATCATGGCTAACTATGATTAAAACAAGGTCTCAGGATGAACTGATTTTCATAAAAGCAAACCAACACGCAAACCTTGCCCTATGTTGTTAAACTAGCATCTTCAACCGACGCTGCTCAAAGATTCAAGCAGGAGAGAGAACGAAGGTCACATTACCTGACCCGCAAGCACCTTCCCCCACCTGTTAGAGTCTTGTGACTCTATGACGAGGCGTGTCATTGCCTGTGTGTAGCAGCCCCGCTGTTACAGCTCTGTGACAACTCTGAGATGAAATCCACACTCTAGGGGAGGAGGGAAGCCAAGCGGCCCTGGCCAGGATTTGTGACTCGTTGGCTAAGGCAAAGCTGCTTCTGTTGGAAACCCATTTGGCTAGTACCTGGCATGCAGTGAACGGTTTAATTCTCCAGAGAAACGGCGGAATGTCGAGGACAGAGATCTGCAGGCTGAAGGTGTTCCCTCTGAAATGCAGCAGCTTCGGCTCCTCCAGCAGCTGTCCGCCTTGATGTCTTTCATCGGAAACCACTTCCTAGACGGGAAAAGGGAAACAGGAACAACGATGAAAAATGTTCTTCCTGTGGATGGACGCAGGTGCCCGCCCCCCTGTTTCTTCTGGAAATGGACCGACATCACCATGGACACGTACTTCTTGAGGCTCAGGAGCGAGTATGGAAAGGTGCTGACAAGAGACAACGGTTCTGTATTATTTGTTTTGCTTAGGTTTTTAAAGATGAGACCTCCCCTGCCCCTGTGCGGACGGTGGAGTTCCCATAGTTGGATGAGTTTCATTGTGACGGGACCAGAATCGAGGGGTACGTCTGTACTCAACCTGACACATCATCACATTTCACAATAATCGTATTACAGAAACAGCCTTCTCCCACTCTGCTTCAATTATTCTTCCCTATCACAGGCATTTTCCAATATCTATTTTTTTTTTTGGCTTCAAATAAATGTTCCAGAGTTCATGTACCGTGTTTATTTGTACACTGTTCATAAAAGTTATTATACCAAAAGGGCAAGGAAAAATAAGTTGTTGATCAAGTTATCTGTAGCTCAGAAAAAACAGCAATCCAATCCTGAGGTAAGTGTTCCTGTATCTTTCACTGAAAAATCTTTATCCACCATAATCTAATATACAAGCTCAATCCGCATACATTCTGTCGAGTAAACCTTTAATTGGTTCCAAATTTGTGGTGCTTAGAATTGTACTGGGGAGAAGAAAAAAGGAAATGATGAAACAAACACACGTTCTGTAAAATGCTACATGAGTCCATCTTCAGTGCTACTGATGATCACAGACCTCCTTAAATCCCTTTTCTTAAATCACCATTAATCAACTTTTCATTTCCTTGCAGTCAAAAAAAAAATACAAAAACTGAAATCTTTTATGTCCTATAACCGCCCCTGATTCTAAAACAAGATTGTAAACAGGTTCATAAATGCAAGAAAACTCACACTTCAGTGAACAGTGAGTACAAATGGCTTCACTGGTCATCTTATCCATCTCTTGTCTGTAATAAGTAGAATGACCTCAGCAAAAACATCGCTGAGAAGCTGCCTCCAACATTACCCTGCACGCACCTGCCCATGAACTGTCAGTAAGAGGCTAGTATCTTTCTTTCAGGATTAAATGACCCAGTCCCAATGTCATTTTCTCCATCTCTTTGGTACTGTGTGTGTGTGTGTATGGGGGGGTGTTTCGTGGGGTGCTCGGGTCAGTGCTAAACTTGCTGTGATTAAGGAAATGTTCTAGATCTGTGTTATATGATGGTATCCACCAGCCACCGTGGCTTTTAACCACTTAAAATGCGCCTAGAGTGACTAAAGAGCTAAAATTTTCATGTTAATTAGTGAAAATATCTACGTGCGATCAGCAATGACTATACTGGACAGTACCATGTCTATAAATACTAACACTGTGGATTTCAGAGTGGGGCATCGCAACATGCTAGCCAACGCCTTGGGGGGCCGTAGGGATGAAAGAAAAGGGAATTAATTCTAAATGTCCACTTCAGTGAGACATTAGGCCTTTTATGGACTCCGGTCACTGGTTTCTTCTGTTGAGATTGGTAAGTGTCCACCAGTGCCATAATTAAACTGGACGCTGAGCGTACAGAAATGAAAGTCTCTGCCACCGAGGAGCTAAGTGTCTCATGAGGGTCAGAACATCGGCGTGTGATCATCCTTCAGTATCTGAGTCTTACCATACATGAGTGCATGGGGAGTCAGGAAGACAGGCGTGCCTAACCCAGATGGGTGGACAGGCTGGGAAGGAGTCGGGATTACTGGAGGAGGTGGTATCTGAGCTGAACCTCTAAGTGAATATAGAAGCCAGTGACTTAAAAAAGAGAAAGACGGCATTCCAGACGCTGAGCGGGTGTGTACAGAGGCACGGTGGCCAGGCAGCCGACATAGAGGGGCAGGGGGGAGGCGTGTGGATGGAGAGGATGGAGGTAGAGGGCCGTGACCAGACCGTGAATTCTTCCTTGCCATGCTGAAGACTCTGCATTTTATCTTAATGTTGCTCTAGTTTTGAGTTGCATAAGAATCTTCTGGGGCCTGGACAGACTCCAAAGAGCACTAATCTTACAACCCGAAGGTGCGAGTTACAGGACTTTAATCACATTGCTGTGTGATCTTGGAAAAATTACTTCTTTAGGCCTTAGTTCCATACCTGGGTTTATTTATAACTAAGCAAAATAATTAATATGATAATATATTAACCTCTTTTTTTTTGCAATTCTGATGCAAGATGAGAAACAGGTCTGAGTTAGAAATGTGCTTATTAAAACTATATTAAAGCCTCAGTGTTATAAAAACAGTGTGGATACTTCTGACTATACTGTAACTGGGTTCTCCAAAGTATACCCCTTTTCTTTAGGTGGCCTTAACGAACTGGGAACTACCCAACACCACGAGATAAAGTGGCTCATTCAAGATCATGTGTGGCGCTAGGCTAACTTCATACTATGAAACAACACAGAACTATCGTAGTAGAAGGGAACTTAATAACTTAATTTTGATCACCAAGTCCCTTATTTACAGACAAATACATGCAGCCCACCCAAGAAAGTTCTTTGTCTAAAGCAGCGGTTCTCAACCTGTGGGCTGTGACCCCTTTGTAACAATGAAAATACATGGTGGCCTTAGGAAGGTTGAGAACCACTGGTAAAGCCACATGGTTAAGGGCAGAGCTAGGCAAGAACGGGCAACCTGATCACAGTCCAGTGTTTTTCCTCCTAAATTTTGCTGCCTTTTCTTATACTTTGCTTGATAATTTTTTTTAAAGGAGTCATGTGAAGGACAGACTGTTATTAAATCTGTCCCATAAATAATTTTTCAGTGGTGCAAAATTATGTATAAGATGACGTAATTCAGCCTACACATGATATTTACCCTAGAGTTACACATACTGTTGAAACCGTCTTTGAAATGAAGAATAAAGAATATTAGGGACTTAAAAAAACAGGTACCTACTTATGATTATCACAAAGGAAGTATCTTTTAATAAAAATTACTGCTTCAAGCCTCCAATTTTAAATACGACATGATTAATGTTTGCTTTTTTAGCTTAATACTTTAATCTGCACATATCGAACCAACTATATGCAATTAACAGTGTCTCGTAATCTTGCACAAAATATTAAGCAACTATAGTTATTCTGAAACAAAACAGTTATTAAAATGAAAAAGCCCAATAATGAACTAATCATTAGATTTATATATATGAAAAGGCACAAGTGGCTTCAGAGTTAAAGAAATAAACTCTTGAGCAAAAGCTTTCAAACATTATCCAAAGCCAAGCACAGTGGCTCATGCCAGTAATCCTGGCACTCTGGGAGGCCAAGACAGGAGAATTCCTTGAGCTCAGGATTTTGAGACCAGCCTCAGCAAGAGTGAGACCTGGTCTCTAATAAAAATAGAAAAATTAGCCAGGCATTATGATAGGCCCCTCTAGTCCCAGCTGCTCAGGAGGCTGAGGCAGGAGGATCACTTGAGCCCAACAGTCTGAGGTTGCTGTGAGCTGGGCTGATGCCATGGACCATGGCACTATAGCCTGGGGCAACAGAATGACACTCTATCTCAAACAAAACAAAGCAAAACATCACGATTATCCAAACACAGTGGATGGCACTTAACACAGATTTCCTAGTCATGCTTTGGCCTCGTACTCTCAGGAGCTGGGGGCTGACACCTGCAGGTATAAGCACTTCTCAGATGATTCTGCTGCCGAGCCAAGTTTGGAAATCAGTGATGCCAATCACTCTGCTGTGCACATGGATATGTCACCCCAAGACTGAGGTCTGATAGTCACTTGATTTTTCCTTCCTGCCTCCAAATGACAAGCAACTCCTGTTTAATCCCCGGTTCTGTGGTTAAATTGATATCTGAGCTAATGAAACAAGAAGATGGGGTCTGGCTGGATTCTTGTGTATAAAATGCACAGAAGGTGCTGGGTGGTGGTTTTTCTGGGGCTCTACTTCATCGTCTCACACTGGGGTGCAAGTTGTCCAGCTCTGGAAGCTGTGGCCAGGAGAGACCTGTGCTTCGTGCCTCACTGAGCTCTTCATGCTGATTGAATGAGACAGGCAGCAGTGTTTAGCTGTGCTGCGGGGATAGTAAAACAGGCCTGCAGAATTTACATATTTATGAGACAAAACTGTTTGAACTTACACGCACACACATCCATGCACATACACATTCACGCAAACAAATTATGTCGCTGTGGCGTTTTCCTTTAAACGCTTTACATGTACAGTATTTCCCAAGGTTGCATTATTGATAACATAAGAACTACATCTGGTGGAAATCCTTTGAAATTAAATTCTAAATCCTCATTAATGTTAAATCAGTAATGAGTAGTGAGACGTACCAAACAGGAGAGATGGCAGCAATGGTGGGGGAGGCGGGGGGGGGGCGGCAGAGGGGGGCTATTTGTTTTTTCTTTTTTCTTTCTAAGGTAAGAAGGAGCAAGCACTGAATTCCTTGCTCTCCCTGCATCAAGGTTTGGTTGAGCTGTATGTGTGTGTCAGCATGTAATAAAACACAATAACCAAAAACCAGGTCTTAAAATGTTACTGCTTCAAAAATATATCACCGTGCTTCAACCTTTGGTTTGAATTTATCAAAGGAAGGCGATGTCAAACACTCGCACATCAAATAGCAACTCTAATTATTACAGGAACACAGACGGGGAAAGGACGAGGAGTCCTTGGGTCTTTCTCTTCCCTCACCTGTAGGTAGATGACATCTTAATTTTTTTAAAAAAAATCTGAGGTGATTTAATTTTCCGTAGAGATGGTTTTAGATGTATTTAGCAGAACATATCTTTGAAAATCTGAAACTAAATTAATTATGTCTTTGGCAAGGTACATGAAATGTTTTTGTTTTTGTCATTCAGAGAAAATGCCACTTACCACTCAGAAACGCTCCCCCAGAGCACATGAGAAGCACAGGGAGGAGTTGGGGAGGCCCACGGGAAGGGGGACAGGATTCAAAAGGAAATGCTTCTGCGGTGGCTCACGC